ATCCTCATTCATGCACTGAATTGAAACCCGCTCGTAAGCCACTACTAGAGTACCTGGAAACCAACGGCATACCACTAACCATACAGAATGTTTTGGCTCCACCCACGGACCACTGGTATACGATAATGGAACTAGTCTTCCATTTTATAACCAAATCTGTCTTGAACAGATAGGCTAAGATTTTTTTTTTATCAAAGTTTCTTAACACTTTTTAATTATATCCAATCACTTTAACAAGTTTCATCGCAGAAACATTAGAGAACATCTCTCCCCCCTTTTGTGAAAGCTTCCCCCCCCCCTCTTTCCTCCCTCTTTTTCTCACTTTTTTTTTTCAGGTCTTCGAGTTTTCCAACAGATAACAGATAATCTAACCAAACCAAACCAAACCAACCACTACCATTCGACTACCAATCAACAAGAAATACCATGATCAGAACGAGTTTGGAAGAATGAAGGAGACCGAGTAACTCACGCCACACCATCCAGGGCCGAGTTTCACCGCCATGTCATTCGACCCGACCAGATCTAACGAAGAATCAACAACCAAACCAACAACACCGAATCATCCAATTTGATCCAATCCAACTACCAACTACTACGACTACCAACAACTACCTAGTTTGCGATATCAGCATCCGCTGGAAGCGAACGTTAACTTGTCATCTACCTACCTACCTAGACATTAGACAAATGATTCAACAAGTCGAGACTAGAGTTTTATCCTCAGACTTGGTGTTATTGTCTATGACTTGACGACATGTCTGGGACACTGCCACACACTTGACTTAAAGTTAAAAGATCTCCGCTGAGTGATCATCGAAAAACGAAGATATATGAACAAGGGGACATTAAAAAACAACAAACCTGAAACATTTAATTTCTACTGTTCAAATTATTCAGTGACTCATTTAGACGTGAAACGAAAACTGTCATTGCAAAATCTTTCTAAAAATGTAAACAAATGTAGTTCATTTCCTGGAAGATAGTGCCCTCTGTATAGGTAAAGGGAGGTAATTCTTCTTAAATGGAGTTACTTCCCTTCCATTGATAAAGCAAATTAAAGGGAACCTTTCGGGTAATCAACAATATGGCCTTTTAATGCATACCATGCCAAAAAATATAATATGCATGTGTAGGTCTTATCTTGACAATTTTTTAACCTTGAAAATTGGTATGATTTTCAAGCAATAGGGATCCTTTAATAATGTCATAATGATAGCCCAAATCTAGAGGTTATGTCTATATGCCTGTGCTCTCGTAATATTGCTAAGCCGCAATGTTACAACCTAAAATTCCAAATCTAGGACTTGTGCTCATGTATGCAGCCAGGATTGTAGGGAAAATCCTTGGCTTTAATAAAGAATATATAGATCCTAAATCTATTGAAATTATTCTCGGTAGGGGCTGGGATATTTTAACTGAAGTTCCTATGGCTATACATTAAACACAATTTTATGGTAGGCTATTATCTGGTGATCCGGATGTCCCATTAGTAATAGTTATGTATCTAACTGATCTCAAGTGACCAACAATCGTCTAGATCTCGTCACTTTACCTACATAGAAAAAGTAGAAAGAAGCCAGAAAAGCATCTGAAGTTCGATCTACACAATTCATCTATTTCCTGTCAGAAAAGCATTATATTATCCAACAACAATAATAATCCAATAATATATATCATCAAATTTGCCTCAATTTTTTTGTCAAAACTTTCCATATTGCTCTATCTATAGTCAGCTAATTGTGGGATGAAGAATCAAAAGAAGTAAAACTCCGATTCATCTCGACTTATATTTCAGATTCGTGTTGGATATATGGCACCAATCTAGCAAGGGTAGTCACTTTAATCAAACCTGCTTTCCTTCATATCTACATTTTCTACATTATTTAATCATGAAGAGTATCTTTAATTTAATCAAACCGCAAATTTTGTTTTATTTCAAGGTTGAGTCTGCTATTGATTTTCCGCATGAAAAAATGTAATAACTCTTAAAACCAATCAATAACGATAGCCCCATTGTTTGTGTTATAATTAATTCCTGACAGCGAATGAAATGAAGAAATTTGAATTTGAATTGGAAACAGTAGCTAATTGATTGATTACATTGATTACTTTGATCTTGCCGCTTTCCCGTAATAACCAATCGAATAACACCTCAGTGAATGTCGTCACGTGTCGTATATTGAATATATTAATGTGGTTCATGGCTTGAAAGAAAATAGTCCCCAACCTTTTTGGTATTTTCACTTGCCCAACGTCTTGAATATGAAAAACAATTTTATGACAGATATGATAATACAACAAAAAACATTTTCAAAACTGGAAAAATTTGAATTCTAAATTAAAAATTTCATCTACCAGGGCATTATTATGACAGTGCGTATGAATATTAGAAATATATGGTTTAACGTTGTGGAATGGCGAACTGTATATTTCATTATAATGGAGTGGAGATGAAACTCGTGTGAAATAGAAGTGAAAATTAACAGTAAATATGTATCCAAAGCATATGCCGGATTAACAATTTCAATGACTAAGTGTTAAATAATGGATTTACATCGAATTATGGATAAACGTGGATTTAAACCGTTATTTTCGGTTATTATCGGTGTACTTTTAGTTGGTGAGTGGTGAATATCACAGCAAGTCTTCTCTGATTCCTCTATATACTCTTTCTACATATTGATTCCAATACTGACAATTCCTCCGTATACCACTTCTGCATATTAACACTTAATATGTTCTATTTTACATCCAGAGCCAGTACAGATATATTTTTATAGGCCTGGATTTTAAGTAAACAATTTTTGTAATAGATGGAGTGGTGTAAGGAGGGTGGGGGGTCTCTCTTCTTACTATAATGTGGATAATTCCAATACTGGCAATTCCTCCGTATATCACTCTTGCATATTAACACTTAATATGTTCTATTGTACATCCAGAGGGAGTACAGATATATTTTTATGGGCCTGGATTTTGAGTAAACAATTTTTGTAAAAGATGGAGTGGTGTAAGGAGGGTGGGGGGTCTCTCATCTTACTATAATGTGGATAATTCCAATACTGGCAATTCCTCCGTATATCACTCTTGCATATTAACACTTAACTTGTTCTATTTTACATCCAGAGGGAGTACAGATATATTTTTATGGGCCTGGATTTTGAGTAAACAATTTTTGTAAAAGATGGATTGGTGTACGGAGGGTGGTCTCTCTTCTTACTATAATGTGGATAATTCCAATATTAGCAATTCCTTGTATATCACTCCTGCATATAACACTTATAAATGTTCTATTTTACACTAAGTGCAGTATAAAGCTGTCTTTAAAAGGCCCAGATTATTATGGGGGGTAAACAATTTGTGTAATATATTTAGAGATGAGTTGAGGGCATCTGTACTAATGATAATGCTGTTCCAATCTGTCAATTCCTTCATATACCATACCTATTGCATATAACATTCAATATATTATACTTTACACTCAGTGCAAGTACAGATATGTTATTATGGCCTTTTATGGACTTTTGTGAAGAAGATGAGATGATGGGGTGGGGTGGGGTTGATTTATACTGATGATTATTATGGTAAAGGATCCAGATCTGTCAATTGGTCTATATGCAATACCTATGTAGAACACTTAGTATGGATCAGTTTCTTCTAGATTTTATGGGAAATGCACTCTTTCAGGCATATATTTTCGAAAAGTGGATGAAGGTTATCTCTACTTATTGAATTTTTATGTTGGTTATTTCATTCTGTTAAATACCTCCATGGCCAGTTTCCATTCTAACATACTTTATTCTTCTAAAAATTTAGACTTTTACCAGGAACTACCTTGTAATTAGATGAAATTGAACATGGAATTAGTGTCTGTATGATATAATATTACCAAGATCTATAGTTGTATTATTATAAAGTTAAAATAGTATTTATAGTGGGAGTAGGTGGTCTAGAATATTATTGTTGATAATGAATGAGAAACATGTAATAGGGATTTTAACATTACATATACCATTATTGTTGAAAATAAAGAGAAGGTAGTAGGAAAATCTGAGATAACAATGTATTACATTGGATACAAAATTATTGATGATAATCAAATGAAAAAAAGTGATTAATAGTTTTATCATTAGGCCTATATGTGGGAGAGGGGTTGGGAGGGAAGCTTTTATATAACAAATGATTTAAATTGGATAAAAAAAATTATTGATGATACTATTACTAGATTTGAAAAAGAAAAATGAGATTTATAGTTTTATCATTATATGTGGGGGAGGGGTGGGTGAGAGGCTCTTAGATTCATTTGAATTACATTTGTTTAAAAATTATTAATGATATTGAAGTGAAATAGAGATGTATAATTTGATCATTATGAAGTGAATATAGATAGAAAGATTTCAGATTATAATTGAATCATAATGTCTAGAAGATTAGATGTAATATTGATTAGGAGATTAGGATAATCTTTCTGATTAAAACTCAGATCTAACTGTTTTTCGTTTGTTTGAATTGTTCTATGCTGTACATCCATGATCTGACTAGATTAAATCACCCACAGAAACAACAGAACAAAACATCCAGATTTATTGGTGGTATATTAAAATGAATATTTTCAAGAAGTAGAAAATGAAAGAATCAAATAGACTGACTGTATTGGTTTTATTTGGACTCAGAAATTTGCATGCAAAAAATTTTTCTCAGCTTTCAGTTCCAGAATTTGGACAATAACAAAATAGTTTCACTGTGAAAATATTGCTCAATTCCTCCATTTTAGAGCTATGTGTCAATAAGAAGAAAATTGACTGATTGTATAGGTTGAATTGTTATGAGACAATATACAAAAGAAAAGACAAAAAAATAGATTTTTGATTCTTTTCTGGTGAAAATTCCAATTCTAGAACCAAATCAAAGCTTCAATACATTTTCATTATCTATTTACTATGTGAAGTAAAACAAAGTTTCTGATTTTAACAAGAAACAATTAACCTAATTGATGTATGTTAGAAGTTGTAGTCTAATAGATTCTCCAGAAATAGTTTATATTATTGATGCCAAGCTGACATAACTTCCTTTGTAATCTCATTCTGTCTGAGTCTACTTATCCAACGCAACTCTGTTTTTGTATTTATTTGCCAGTCATATTTATGCCTCTGATGTCTTGTATAATATAATACTGGTACATAATACCTGTACAATTAAAGACCCGTAATGAATAAATCAAACTAAAATATTAGCATATGTGTTCTCTCTGAAAGCGAAAGGGATGTCAAGTTGAAAAACCTAGTTGCAGATTGGCATCAGGTGTCCCGGAAGGGTGACAAAGCCCTGTCTAGCTAGCGACAGGAGCCATAGTGTTTGTTTCTATGTTGCTTGAATTCAATAATTTCCTTGTACTGCATGACATTGTTTAGGATATAAGCGTGTCCGACTTTATTTTAAACATTCAGTCTTAACTTTTGCTTTTAGAAAAAATAATAAGCATTTTCAAAATATATTGCATATTCACACTTTATTCTTTGATATAAAAGTTGGTTGGAAACCAAAATAAGATTTTCTGAATTCTGTTTTAATGAAAAGATTTGTTAGTTATTTGATTTACGGGATGTATTTATTTGGAATAATGAAGGATAATAGGAAGGTTTTTTTTTATAAAGTAAGTATGAATTATGAGGTATTAGAAATGCAAGGTGTTTGAAGGTATCTATAGAATGTTGTCTAGTAAGATTACAGGTGTAAAGACCAGTAATTAAAGGTGTATAAATGATCTAGGTGAATAGAATATAATTGATATTATACTAGAGTTATAACAAGGCCAGGTATTTAGTCCCAGGTAAACAGGTCATTGTCAGGTCACATATCTCCACCTGTATTCATATAGATAATAGTTAGATAGCCTGTATCTTTTTTATTCACATGAATGAAATAATGTGAGCTGGAAAGTGTGAGGGGGGGGGGGGGGGAGGGGGAGGCTGAGTGATAAAAGGGGAGAAGGAGTTCATATTATCTATAACTGTATTCATATAGATACATAAATAGATAGCCCTTAGATTATATTATTCACATGAAGGAAAAGGGGGAGGGGGTGGTAGGTGATAAAAAGGGGGGTGGGGGAGTTTCTGAATAGGATATACAAGTACCTTCTCCTGTAGGCCTACTCGTATAGATACATATCTTATGATATTGACATGAATGAAATATTCTCAATTTATATCAACTGTTGAGTAGTTCAATCTGAAAGTTCTCCCTATTATTAGAGGGTAGAAGGAGGAGGGTGAATTGGTGTCAGCAATGATCTGTGTACTGGCTCAGAGAATATCAATTCAGAACTGATGAGAGCAAATTGTCTGGTTTACATGGCAAGTTGCTCACAGGAATGTGGTAGATGGATAGCTGAGGAAAGGTGTTGTGTATACCAGATACCATTTAAATTGATGCCTGTTTTGCCCCTGCCTCAACTCATTAACTGTTATAATTGCCTACATGTATTCCTTGCATTAAAAGATTCATTTATTCACTTACTTTTCAACTGTGTAAAGGTATGCAATTTGAAATTCCGATGTTTTAGAAAATAATTATCAGGTAAACAGAAAAAGAGATAAATAGTTTAAAATTTGTCAAAGTAACGAATGTTCGAGCTGGTACATGTTTGGTGTATTTTATGTGTTTATTAACGTCTTTGTCTACCCTCGTACTCTCCTTATCTCCCTTTGATCCTCGTAGCCAAGTTTAATATTAGCCCTGTCTTCTTTACTAAGCCATGTTTACCAAGATACTCTAAAAGATTTCAATTGCCTTTTTTGAAATGTTGCCATCTTTGTTTATCAACTTTGCTTAGAGTTTGTGAAGTTTGAACAATTGTAGCCAATAGAAAATGATATGGAGTATAATTGCCAAGTTAAAGCTTTTTATTACTTGAGTAAACACAATCGTAGAAAGATCTGCACACAATTTTTAATATTTTCAAACCACTTCGTACGTTCTTGTGGATTTTCTTTATTTAAGGTTTTTATTGAAGTCTAGTACTTGTATGTGACTATAAAGAGACTAGCACAATTCTTAAATCATAATTGAACAGTAACACTTTTTTATTTTAACAAATTCTGAGAAGGGTAGAATTAGATGTGGTGGCTTTCATAGAAACAAGCAGTTGATCGTGCCAAGAATGATTCAAACTCTGTCTATATCAATTGGATGTCAATATTTTCTCACAGCAGAGACTGGAAATATTTCTGTTGAAGCAATCGTATATTTTGGGTAGTATTTATAGTCTTCTATATCTCACATCACAGCACTAACTTTTAATATTTGTTAAGACCTGGTTATTTATTTCTGAGTTTGAGTTGGGGTGGATATATTAGATAATGAATGGATTGATATATTTAAAAACTTTTTAAAATTTGTATTTGATACATGGCTATAATTGAACACTTTGTCTCAGAATGGATGACACTATTTAATAGGATATTGGAAGGGTGCATTTATGAGTTTGAATTGTTATGAAACCAGTATATGACTGTGACAGTTACTGATATTGATAGTGTATCAGTTTGTCATGTCTATGATAAATTCACAAGTCATAAATATAACTATATCCTTTGATTTATTGACAAGGGAATGATAAATCAGATAGAAATATATATAACTTATACAATTGGTAACAAGGCCTTGATTTAAATTTGATATTTCTATTCCAGTCCAATACTGTTTTTACCAAAAAGTTATGATGGCTCATTAAGGACATATGTGCTGGGTAAAATCATGATTTGAATTATCCTTACTGTTTCCTAAGTTACCATTTTTGTCGCAAGTTATTTTTACAAGTGTATACAGCACCAAGATGGCTATTGTAACTTTCATGATGACAATGTATACACCCAAAAAAGATGTATTATCAAGTTGACAAACCCAGATGCAGAATGTCTTGTGCGTCTGTAAAGGTTAATTCAAAGAAGCCAACTGTAGAATTGATATAAAACTCCCTAGAGACAGTGTTTATTATCATAAGTATTTTACCATGTAGATATTGCACTAATTCTGGCACTGTGTCATATCACCATTCCTTGCTATTAAAACTGAAATAAGCCTACCACCATCTATCATTAGAGAGTAAACAAACACTATCTTGATGTATAATGTTTATTTATCCTGTATTCTTGTCTCCCTCTTACTCTTTTATTGTGTGTGGTACACAGAGTTTTAGTCATGGTGGTTGATGCCAATCTGCAGTAGCAAGCACCCAACATTGCCATGAAAATTACAACCGACCAGCACAAAAAGATGTATTTAATTATTCTTGCTTGAGAGGTATTAAATCCCACAGCACATTACTGATCAGTTGAAATACAAATTTTGGTGGTTCATTTTTTTGAAAGTATCTCATTTTGTTTAGCTTTGATATAATAAATTGTGTAAGGAAAATAATGAATTTTTCTGGTGTTAAAGGGAGATTCAAGCTCAAAGCACCAAACTTCTAATGTTTGATATGTTATGGTTCATGCTTCTTGAAAGTATATCTCTGTTTACCTTCTCATATAATAACTTGTTTCAAGTGAATGATTATGAAAAACAACCCTCATCTAACTGACATTTATAAACTGACCTAGATATGTTCTTTGTTAGATGGACAAAGGTCAATCAACTGGACAGTAGCTAAATATTGGGTGGGAAAATGTGAGAGGTTGGGATAAAGACATGTGTTATTCCTCAGCCTGATACTGATGTCCTGGTCAAGGCTGATGTCCTACCACTGAATGTAATTTAAGAGAATAGGCCAACACAAGTTTCTTTTAGAGGTTGGGCAAGAATTACAAATTTCTTTCATGAGTAAGAAACTTGTATGCTAACTAAAAGGTTGATTTCAGCAGCGGTTGAGATAGTACCTTTTTATATTTTGTAAAGTGGTGTCAGTCTATTTGTGATAGTTAGATAGGGCTGACAAAATTGTCAGATGGTAAAGCCAATAAACCTAAGTATTAAATGCTGACCATTTTAAAGATTCTTAACAGATCTTTACATCAGATCAGATTGAATTCAACTTATAGCTGGTGACAAACATACTTTTAATTTAATTAAGCACTGTTAATAATAGTAATCATTAATTAAGACTCTTCACTATCTATAGTCTTATCCTTCAAATTGACTGGATGGCTCTGATGTGGTGAATTTAGTGTTCACTTCAGGGTGATCACTTTTTAGCATCTCCTTGGCAACAGTCAAGTTATACTTTTACTTGTCCCCTCTCCTTTATCACTCATTTAGAATTGGATCTGAAAGAGAAAAAAAGCTTAATACAGTCTTCATGATTGTTAGATACTAAATATCTCAGATGACCTGAGAAGGTTAGAGTTAGTTTAGACTAGGTGGTTAGATAGCCTGAGAGTAGAGGGTGGAGGTATTTTGATAGAATCAGTATAGAATGTCTACAATAACATTGAGAGTTAAGAAATGAATGGTGATTTATTTATAGATTGTAAGATTATGTACAATGTTTGTTATGCTTCAACCAACTTCTGTTTGTCTGGATTCTTATAGCTTTCCATGTCATTTAAGGTCAGACTTTTACATGAAATGAAATGGAGTTTAATATACCTTTTCTGCTTCTAAGCAATTTCACAATCACAATATCAAGCTATTACAAACTTGTTACTTATACCTTCACTGCAATATTTACCTTTCTTTTATCATAGAACTTTATAAATGAAACAATTTGATTGGATTGTACTCTAGTGAATATCCAGCCAATCAGAGGCTTCATCAGAAAGTTTGATCACAAATCTATAATGTTTACAGCCTTTATGTCAATGATTTTGATCGGCTGTATTCACCGGTGTACAATCCAATTGCTGCATTCTGTGACTATTGTAATCAAGGTATTAGAAGAAGTTTGTAATAGCTTAACATTGTGAAGATGAGTAGCCTAATGAATATGGGTATTTCTTCTTATGCAATGTGGTATAAGGAAAGGCTAATATGCATTAATCTATTCTTTAGAGATTTCTTAATTGTCAAGGAATCTTTAATGTGCATGTTCTGTAATGAATAGGGTTTCAAATTATTATCCGATCCAATCAACTAGAGGCTGTTTTGTTTCTTGTCAGTCCTCTAACCTCAGTCTTTTACAATCTGGGAAACCAATGGTGGGAAAGCACCTTACACTAAGATACTATGACTCCCAACTAACCATTTAGTCCAATATCTCCCAATATTGATTATCATCTATAAAAAACTTCCTCAAGGAAAATCAATGATGGCTAGTTCGATGAGATTTGTTTAATTGGTCCAGTGAACAAGTGAGATATATCGAGATACAAATCAACCCCAATCAAACTGTCAAATTATTTCCAGGTTTAGTGAACAAGTGACATTCTGTGAGATATATCGAGATACAAATCAACCCCAATCAAACTGTCAAATTATTTCCTTGTTAAGAATAAGGCTAATCAATAACTGATCAGATAATATTGATGTATTGATTCTTTATTTATATATATCACGATCTGTATTAACCCTTTAAACACTGAGTGTACATGGAATTGATCAAATGTGATAATGGTGTAGGCAATATAAAGAGTATTCCTACCAAAAAGGCACATGTTGCCTTGCTCTTCTAGACTTATATAATTAATGTATTAGGAGGTAGAATATTCATATATGATAGAACAGTAGGGAGTCCTGAGAGAATACACTGACTAAATAATGAATATTCCTGGCTTCAACAGACTTCACTGACAATCATGTCTGGTTTTCATGTTAAAACAATGTTGAAAACAAACTATGTGTAATTGAATAAATAAAATAGGTCAAGGTTACTGATACTCAGATGTTCCAGACAAAGAAGCATATTGCTTTGTAGAAAATTTGATTTGAGAATTTGTCCAAAATTTCAAGCTTTGTTTTTGATCTGTGTAACAGTTGAAAGTTTGCTTGTGATATAATTGTTGAACCTGATAGTTGAAAAAATATGTGGAATGGTACCAAAGTTAGTCTTTGACCACTGTATGAAGTTCCTGTTTTTTCCTCTATCAATCTTACCCACAGACAACTTGGAATGGACCATGTTAAGATAGAGCAATGCCATGCAATATAGCTACTTATCTCAACCTTCTGAATGGAATTATCAGAGATTAATTTCCAGAATTCCAGAAATGGAAATGGGTTGCGTTAAACACTTTGCTGTCTATGCTTCTCAAAAGTTTCGGAAATGAATTCAATGGTCACTTATATATCTGATTTATATATGAAAAAGTATCTATACTCAAAGAGGAAAAATATATATTGCCTAACAGCATGATTTTGCCTTTCTTTACATCTAGAACAAAACATGTCAAAGTAAGAGGTAAAACTCCATTTCATTGTATTGAGATGAGTAAATTCAGTTGAATAGTTCACAATAGATCTAAGCTTTGTATGTAAATGTAAAGTGTTGGTATTAATTAAACAAGTTTATCTAACATATATCAATAGCTAGATATATTTAATTATAAAATACTTCACACATGGTGGAAATTAACTCATTAAATATTCAAAAACAGGTTAATTCATTCAAACTGTTACAATTATTGTACATAATTCAATGGAGCTTATTTAATTTGTTAGTTTATTGAATGAATAAGTAATATTATCCTTGTATGAAATTGATATTGCACACATAAGATTTTGTATAAAGAGATTTGACACTGGTTTTTCAACTTTTGTTTGTAAATTCAATACACTATTTCTTTTTCCATTTTTATTTTGATGTTTTTTGGCTCATCCAGAAAACTTGACAATTTTATGACAGCACTGCAAAATTCATATGGATAGTATTTTTATATAACTTTGGCATCTGAAACTGTTGCAGCTTTGTTTTAAGTTAGTTAAACATAATATATGGTTAATGCCTGTTTCCCAGAAAAATCCATATGTTCTGAATAGTATTTTCAACTTTGGCAATGCTATCTAGCTCTATTTTTATTAAGTTCAGAAATAAAAAATTTCAGGAAGAATATTACAGCAGAATACAAATGTACCATAAACTTTCAAAATAACTTTCTTCTGCTAATTTTACTGCATTTCATACTGTATTTCATTTATTTACCCAAACGATTAATTTATCCTATTTTATGATTTCAGTGAGTGTGAATGGAGTAGAAATAAATTTTGACCAGCGTAACGATGGATTCTTTTTAAAATCGGCTTATCACAAACTGAAACCCAGTAACCCTACGCAGGAAAAGGAACTATTTGTAATAACCAATCGTGCAGAACTACACAAATTACGTGCCAGTCATGGACCTTTCGAAGCGTATCAAGCTGTTCCGGAGGAATACATCGAACAGCAGACAAATCGCAAACTACACAGTGAAATTTTTCATAATATGGACATCAGTGTGCATCTGTTAACAGAGGAACTATTACCAAAATGGCCGCTTCTTCAAGTGTTAATGCATGCGCGCCCGATACAAGAATCTCTGAAAACCAGCGATTTTAGTGAATCTTATTACAATGAACATTGGTGTGGTCAGTTGATCGTGTTTCACGAGGATCAACGACTAACAGATGTGTGTATTTTAAATCAAAATGATAAAAGTGCATGTCTGATGGAAATTACTGTTCCTTATGAATGGTGGCATCGTAATGTCTCCAACGTGGAAGTCTACTATCAAGTGTCCCGCGTCGAGGACAACCACGAATGTGCACAAGAATCTAACTCAATTGTTCCTGGACGAACGGAGGAATCCAAGAATATGAAACTGATAACTAGTCTGCCTCTTTCGACTGAAGATCATCGCTACGATGAAAAGGGAGATGATCGCCTGATTTTCCGAATTCCAAAAACCAAATATTTACCTGGAAGTCGTTTTTTGATTCCTGTTTATTTACAAGGAAATACGAACGTTCAAGTTGTTGTCGTACAGTAAGTAGGATTTTGTTTGTTATTTATTTGATATTAAGGGTATATCTCATCCTGAAAACCAAGAAAGTATGACTATCTAGAGGGCTTACTGATATAGACTGTAAAGGTTATACTGTTTTGAATAATATGTTATTTGTTCTGCACAACATTTACAGAATATGACAAGATTTTAGAATAAAGCTAAGGATATTGTAAAGTTGTCATTTAAGGACATAGTTTATGCAGAAATTGATTATTATCCGTTTCTTAAACATAAGAATATGATTTATTCATTGAAAATATGAAAAGTGAATTACTACTGGAAGAACCCTTCAATCCCAGCAAATGGACTCAAATATTTTTTAGAGACTTAATGATGAGTCGTCACCTCACTGCAATATGAAATTTGAATTATACTCTGGGCTACAAAATTCCCTAGTCCCATCTAAAATCCTGTGATCCCAAAAAAGAATCCCATGGTTCCATCATAAATTCCTTGGTCCTATCAAAATTAATGTAGCATGTAGCCCTATCAAAAATCTCCAGTTCCGTCTAATATCCCTACTTCTGTCAAAAATCAAAAATCCCTTGGTCCCATCAAAAATCCCTTTTTCCCCATCAATAATCCATTAGTCCCATCAAAAATCCCTTGATCCCATCAAAAATCCCTTGGTCTCATCAAAAATCCCTTGATCCCATCAAAAATCCCTTGATCCCATCAATAATCCATTACCCCCACAAAAGTATCTTGGTTCCATCATTAATCCCTTGGTCCCATCAAAAATCTCTTGGTCCCATCAAAAATCCATTAGTCCCATCAAAACTCTCTTGGTCCAATCAAAAATCCAATAGTCCCATCAAAAATCCCTTGGGCCCATCAAAAATCCATCAACTGTGTGAATGTCCCAAGTGAGTGTAGTCTAGCCCTCAACCTGTCTATAATTTGATACGACTGTAGGGTAACTAGTTTATGGTCTAGGCTATTATCAGTTTGTTTGTTCTTTAAGATTAGCTGTGTCTTGTCTCGTTTTCTTTCTATTGACAAAACGAACAACACCTATTCATTGTTAAATACCCTTCGTTTTGATATCTCTTATGTTCTCTAATATTATCATAGTCACATACTTTATACCTTCTTATACTAGAGAAATAATCCTTCTTTAGTCCTGGGGGTATCAATGAGAGGCTTGTTAACTAAGGGGTATTGGATTTGATCCTGTCGGGTCAAGATGACACCTTGAAATATTTCAACTAAACTTCCCCAGAAAAATACGTAGTGGAGCTATCTGACAGACTCTGCAACCCATGCAAGTTGGAAATATTAATTTCCCCTATTGCACACTGCATGGTGTAGCCTGTCTTCATTGTTCAACCTTGAGCTATAAAGGAATACATACAACTGCGTTTCAGTTTTTACTTTCCTCACTTAAAAATTCAAACAATTGTTTGCTGTCTGGTGCATCGCCCACGGCAGATATTGACATTCATGATGTCATGCACACATGTGCATCTGCAACTATTAAGAGTCAGGCATCACTGAGTTTGAAAAATACATAAACACTGCACCATTTATCTCTTTAAAGAGATTGTAAAGAGGTTTTCTAAAATTTGTATGTGTATAGGGGACACTGATAGTATCGATTTGCACCATTCAAATTTACAGTCAGACGTTTGTGGTTTTTGCAGTTCTACTAAAATAAGTGTTTTATGACATCACTAATCGACAAAGCTACAAATAATTAATAAAGACTCAGTTTTAGTAGAAATGCAAAACCCACAGATGTTTGAAATAGTGCACATATTTATCTCTTTACAGTCCCTTTAACAAGGTGATTCATTTACGTAATGTAAAAACTTGAGAACTAAGCTTATTTACTTTGCCATTTTTTACAATGAGGCTTTGTTCAGAATTACCACCCCTGGGCCTATCTCTACAATCAACACTTTATTCAGAGTGAAAAATGATTACTCCTGCTTCAAGAAACTTAATGAAGTATGAAATCATTGAAAAATCTGTTTAATGGGTCATTATGTAATATTATTTTGTGTAGAATGTGCAGCTTTTATCTTCAATATTTGCTCCCTCATTGCACACTGCATGGTGTTGCTCTCCTTCATAAGCCTAATTAGGTGCAGAGAAGTATCTTAATTTTGAAATATTTCCCCAATATTATGATTGATTCTAGTTCTCATTTGGTTTAGAAATCTCAAATTGTCTTTTGAATTTCTGATGATTTGTTAGATGTCAGTTTGGGGTTTTTAAGCTGACTAAGTGACAGACAGGCATTTTGTACAGTCAGACAGGCTATGCATATATGTATAGGTGCACTTGCTTAGCCTACTTACTTTTAAAAGACTGGTTTGAATAAGATTAGACTGTATATACTGGTACCCTAATCTTTAATTTAAAAAATACAATTCAGCCCCCTCAAATTTTGGAAGATCCCCATCTGTACCTGTGGACAGTTGACATAAACAGATCTTTTGAACAAAGAAAATTAAAAATCTTCATTTCCTTTTTTGTTGTTTCTTTCAGAACAAAAGTAAAAAATGGATTAAAAATTCGTGGAGCTGCCGTGAAACCAAACAGTCCATGGAGTGTGTATTTTGAGATGAAGGATAGACAGAAGACAGCAGTGGTTACAGCTTTTATCAAAGATAAATCTAAGTATGTTCAAAGTACAAGGTGAGAATTCTGCTTTTTTTCAAGATGTTAAGGGAGTTAATCTTTCCAAATCTTTCCAACCATTAAAGGTTTTCAAGAGAGGCTTTCTAGCTTTCTAGAGACATACAGCTTCTATTGACATCATTCTGTTTTTCTAGTCTGATGTCTCTGGTTCCTGTAATTAGGCCCAAATTAGGAAGTAACTATTGGGAAATGAATTGTATGTGTAAAAGTAATGCCATGATATTGTAAATTTGTTTATGTTTGTGAATTATTTAAAAGTGATACAGGGAGTTTACAAACGAAATAACTTTATTAACATTATTAACAATGTGGGCTCTCCATAGGAATACAAAGTTAATATAACCTAATATACCTTATAACCATGAGGACTCTCCAAAAGGGATACAAAGTTGATATAACCTAATATACCTTATTAACCATGTGGACTCTCAAAAAGGGATACAAAGTTGATAAACCCTGAGTGAGTGAGAGAGTGATATAGAACTACATTACACCTTATATTGTCTTCTGAAGATTCTATATTTATGTAAACAAACTGAAGACTCTTATACCGTTAGTTTTCTTCCAATCTTGAAATTTAATTTTCTTAAAAAAACGTCAATTTTATTAGCAAAAGAGTCTTGTTAAGTGTACCATGTAAATAAAAACCCAACTTTCTGACTCAAGTTTAAAAGTTAATTACCAGTCATCCAGCCTTAAAGTTTGTTTGATTTTCATAGTCTCTGTTTACAAGACTTATTAAAGTCTTAGCTTTAATGAAATATAAGATGTCGTCAAACTGAAAATATTCAAATTCTCAAAGAAATGAGTTCAAAGGTCGTTTTAAAGATATATCTGTGTTTCTTTGATGTTTTAGGATGGGAAATTCTAACCAATTTTCTTCCTCTGCAGCCTAATGTAAACACATATGTCCACAATTTGCCTTCCTCCTTCATACTATAGATCGTGATAGATTTAAAATCTGGAAAACTAATAAACACTTTAAAAATGACTTCAACTGTAAAAGCTTGATATAGTTTACTATGAACATTGGATGCTAATTTCTATATAACATATGAAATAGAAATATTAAAACAGAACTAACATTGTACTGTTGTTACTCAGAGTTTCACGCTATGCTATCTTCAGACAACTGACCTCACATTTCAAATATCAAATTTTTTCCTTTTTGCCTTTCTTCATTGGCTTTGATCAATAGATGTAAAAACTCAATTTAATTTTGTTTCTCCATTTCAAAAAAAAAAAAATAGACATCGTATAAAATTATTCCACCTTCTTTTTTATCTTTTCCTTCCCATACTCCCTGGCTTGTGTATCCTCACCTCTCATTTCAGACCAAGGTGAACGTGTATTAGACCCAATACCAACTCCCTATTGCATTAGCCCTACTATTGAATCTAATTACCAATGTTCTATACCCTCCCAATTAGCTTTCCCCTTTCTTTTTATCTTAACCATGCCCTACTTCCCCTTTACATTAACCATACCACTCTAGAGTCTGTTATTGTAGAAACTTGTCAATATAAAATAAAAGACCTATTGATTTTTAGCTAGTGTGGAATAATGACTACATCGTGGAAATATTGGCGGTACTTGGAATTGGAATCCTGACATTAAACAGCAGGCTTTATTCTTTGAGTATCATATTACAGACCTGTTGTCATGTTATAATGGATAGAACAATAAGTTTATACTTTACAGACTATGTCAATTGGATTCATATTTCATAGACAAACTGGTATCTAACATACAACATATCATATAATAAACTTGTCTCAAGGTTTTTGTAATGTACAATTATCATGTCCAACATGCAATCTTGGTTTTCTTATCCTAGCAAACTATCTGACAATACCAGGGGTGTTCTTACTCTGGAACCAGGGGTCGGCTTGTGTGCAAATTTTATATCATTTTGCATAGTGAAGGAATGGCCTGTGGCCCCCCTGGAAATTTTGTGGCCCCTGCTCGGCCTCCTCAACTAATGTTTCCTGAAAACAACATTGGACAATACAGAACAATGACTTAATTAATATGTAATAGATACAGTAAGTTTCTACCATATAAACAATGTAATTAGGAATTTCATTTCATAGACATATCGTAAACTTGTTTCAAGGCTTTAGTTATATGAAATTATGGTGTCCAACAAGAAAACACAGAAGTAAAGACCAACCACCATGGCTTCTTTGGGAAACTATGAACAAGCAGGGCAATACCTTAATCCCTTTCAAATTAAATCTTACAATGTAAATTTGGATTCTTATTTCATAGACACAATCTCAAGGCTTTGTTATATGAAACTTAAGTGTCCAACAAGCTAGCACATAGTAATGCAAAAAAAAGGGCTCATGACTTAGTAAGTAGGTGAATGACAAGAGAGAGCAATGACTTAATCAATATGAAATAGATACTATACAGACAAGGTAAATTGGAGTCTTATTTCATAGAACTAGTCTCAAGGTTTTTATGATTTTAATTAGTCTGAGATTAAGGTTGTTGACTTTAAAATTTTCGATTAAATGAAAAAAGCTGCTTAAATATCCAATCGCCTTTGCTATAGCTACGTCAGCAAACAGTTTTAGTGGAATTGCATGAACCACAGATGTCTGACTGAAAATTGAAATGGTGAAAATCAACGATATCATAAAAGGTTTGAAAACCTCTTTACAATCTCACTAGCATTCGGTGTCAAGTAATGATATCTCAAACATTCTTCTTCTGCAGTTTAAGGACAACTGAACTTATCATTCAAACAAAAAAGGCGAAATCCAAAGTAATTTGTTTCAAATTCTATCAATTAACTTAATGGCTAGATTTAGAAAGATATTTTTTTATATTGTAAAATGTCTGAGAGATAATAGTTATGTGTTATATATTAGCTTTCTGTTCTATAAAAGGAGACAATACAATCAGTAAAAATCATTATTGATATGAATTATTGTATGCATCATGTATTTAATGTGATCACAGAGCATGTCTTGTATTGATAATACAAATTACTTGTATAGGGCCTTGATCAGAACATAGGCCAATAATAATACATGTTTGGTTATTGAGATTGCTAGTATTACGGTGAGAATAGACGATGGTATGGTACCCGGTGTGGTGTAAGGTGTGGGATTATTGATACAATAGGTAGAAGCCATGGACCCATATCATGTATATTCACTTCTTCTATTTTCTACTGTAATCGATAATCGTACACCGTACACCATCTAATGGGGCCTTAAGAAGTATTGATAAACCCCCTAATTTACTTGATTAGAACATAAGCTGATAATAATACACATTCAGTTATTGTGATTGCTAGAATTAACAGTGTAGATTGATTATGAAAAATATGGCCATTAATAATATATGGTTGATGCTCCAAAATGAAATGTTTTGAGATTTACTTCTAACTTTTTCTGCTGTACCTATTTCAACTGTGTGAGAGGTTGGCTTGGCAAAAAGCAAGCCAGTAGTTGGGATAGGACTTAAACCCAGGCCCAAAGTGCTACACAGATGTCTTACTTAGATCCATTGCGTCAAATTTCCAAAATGTGGAAGAAATTGTAAAAATTTGTCTATAATCATAGGTAAAAAGAAGGGTAGGATTCCAATCAATGAATCATTGTCTTGTATGAACCCTGCATCTATTACAAGTGTATGGAATTACTAGAACCATATTTCATGCATCAAATCAACTTGTTACTGAAGCCTCATAAAAGTTTAATATGAAGCTGTTGATAATACAGAAATCAATAAGGCAACTGAATGTAAGTCCCTATGGGTAATGTAGATCAATCAAGTCCCTGTGGGTAGACATGGTATGACAAGTTTTATTAGTACTTGGTAGAATCTGTGGATGAGTCATTTTGTATCTATGACATTCTGATACTGCCTTCAGTCAATCAGTTTATATTACAGGCCTACTAATAACAATCTTGTCACTACTCTTATGATATATCAACTTTGATTCACTCTACCAGCACAGTGGTGGAATTGACAATTAATGTCCTGTTTAAAACCCAGTATCCGGAGTTGTTCGCATTTCCAGCACATTGGTGGAATTGACAATTAACAGGCTGTTTAAGGCAACCTTTTACATACCACAGGAGTTGGCCGTACTTCAAAACAAAACATTAAGATGGTTACGAGCAATAGTACCGATTGTTGGTTGAAAATGTATATTTATTACCAGCGATCTTGAATAAAAGGTTTACCTGATACAGTGGATCTTTGTAGAAATATGAATTAGTTTCCGTCAAGTTTAAGAGACGATGAACCTCCACTACCTATTGATTCTGAATTTACATCAGTATTTCATATTATTAAGTTTACCTGTTAAAGTGAAACATGTACTTATGTAATAGTGTATGAAACATGCTGAACATCATGCTCTTGGTTCTTAATACAATGTTTACATCCTAAAGTAAAACATGGTAAATATAAGACCCGTCCTCCACTGCCTATTGATAAGGCTATTTCTATTAAAAAGGTCAGAATTGACATCATTCGTATTGTAATTAATTATGGATGAAATTAACAATTTTCGAGGTAATTATCTGGTTAACTGGGATGATTTATTTCCTCAACGCCATCTGGTAACATTGAATGTATCGTTGATTGGGTTATGTCCCCTTGGGAGGTTGTTCTTCAGTTTAGATTCCTACCTTAAATATTTTAAAACCATTTACCAATCAGTTTTTATTGAACGGAGAATTTGATTGATTAGATAATGTATTACTTTGAACATGAGATGAATAACAATTTCGTTAGATCATGAATCGCAAGTGGAGACACCTACATAAAATACATAAGAAATGAAACATCTTGATTTGCATTTTTATCAGATTGGACAGAACTAAATGACACTTTATACTTAGAAGACATCAGGCCAAGAATATGGCATCAAGGCAACTTTGCTTAACTTAACTTATTTAATTTGATTAGTCCTATAAGGTTCAGAACATTATATAAACAACTCTGTATCAATATATGTTTCTCATCCATCTGAGTGATATGATAACTCATATTATGTTCAAATGACCAGACAAATTCTCGTTATTATTGATTGAAACTATGGTATTATTGTAGAATGACTTGAAATCTAAAACCTGTACTCCATTGATCTTACTGACTCTAGAATGTAACTAGTTCAAATTGATAAGAAGTCATCTTACACTAGTCATCATCGTCTCATCAACCTGTCAGAAACTATTACACATTTCTATCGTCTTTCACTTTAGTAGGTAAACCTTTGACTGAGGTCACGTGATGTCCCATGATTGTTAAATTGACCAATCAAAACACTTGCATTGTCATGTTTAGGTTTAGTTTTGCAGATATGAACACAGCCACAGAACTAGTGAATGAAATGGTCAATCTTTTGATATGGAAACAACCATTTTGATTGGTTAAAAGGACACTGCCTCATACAAAGCTATTTGAATAAAGTGAACCATCTTGCTTTCTAAAAACTTCCCTCATTGCACAATGCATGGTGCTACCTATCTTAATTATCTCGATCAGTTTCAGAAATTTAGGTTGTAAACTATTTGTTTCTAGTTAATTTTGTGAACCATTATTACGAATAGATAAGAAGTCAAACGAGACTATAAAAATAAGTAAATTGATTTTGAAGAAAGTAATATTTTGTCTGATGTATGAATTACAGTGAAATATTTTGATAACTGTCATTATAAACATCATATATTGATTAGAACCTGAAATTACTGCAGGGAATAATATAATAGAGAAATTTATGAGTTGAAACCTGGTTGTTATGAACTCAGTTCCAGGAATTTATTTTATGACTTTATTATGGAATTTATTCCAGTGAATTCTTACACTTTATTACTATTTCTTGTAATGGATATTTTATTTGGAAATAGCATTATTGATAGAAATAAAA